TGAATTATTAGGGGGGGGGGGTGTTTGGGGTTGTTGTTTTTTTCAACCCAATGTATACCTTAACGGTGAAGATAAATAAAAGTTCCGAGAAACGAACTAAACGGTACCAAGTCAATTTAGTTATAAAAAAAGAAACGCATTTCCAGTACATGTACATGTATTCCCAAGATAAGATGATTCAATATCTCCAAACACCTGCAAATGTGAGCAAATCATCTGCCGCCCACTATCTCTGTTATCGCGGCAGGAGCTAAGGGAAACAACTTGAACAGTCCGGCTGTTACGTACTTCCTCTCGCCACGTGGCAGGAGTCTGCAGCAGACGATTTTACGTTTCCATCTCTGCAAAAACACGTCCATGGCAAATCAAATGTTGGGAATCATAAGAGTGCACTCTATTTGTTAGCGCGGGATGGGTTGGAATAGAATTATTATGATGTATATAAAATACTTACAGTACATCTTGTTTCTTTGGGTTCTTTTCCTCGTGTTACACAGCTGTTTTTTTTTTGGGGGGGGGGGAGGTTGTTGTCCGTCTTTTTTTCAAACTCTACAAATTCCCTCTTTAAGTCTCCCAGTGCAATGTACTCCTAAACAGTAGCGCCCCTTTAACCATTAATTCATTTTAAAAAACTTGGATTTGAGGAAGTCTTTATAAATCGTGAAAATCTCAAATTCAAGTCATGGCATACAAACAAAAAACAAAAAAGAACATTTTTTGAAGAATGGAAGCTGTTACGTCATGTCTGAGAGCATCTCTCCTCCGGACAAAGGGCTTCCGACTGGGGGGAGAAATACTCTCAGACTGGACGTTACAGCTTCCGAAAATAATATTATTATTGTGTACATAACCTGAAAAGGCAGATCCTCCGACAACTGTTAAAATGTACTAAGCCCATAATTTAGATTTTTTAAATGTAGTTTCTTAATCTGTGGTATCGACTGCATTTGCTCAAAGATTTTTTTGTTTCAAATTCAAATCCTCAATGTTGAAAAAAGTAAGGAAAAAAAAGAAATGTAGATTCAACTGTTGAAAGAATGAAACAATTTGTTGGTTGGTTTTTGTTTGTTTTTTGTTGTTGTTTTTTCTGTTTGTTTGGGGTTTTTTGGGGGGGAGATCGGTTTTATTTCCCTCCATTGTAACAGTTTTCGACCAAATTGAGTTTTTGGTTTCGAAATCTCAAAGTCGAAGTAAAGAGAATCAAAATCTTTTTTTTAACATTTACTTTTTAGCTGGACAGCCTTTATAATATCACTTGCTTTCTCTCGCTAACTCTTTATAGCACGAAGCGTTGTCAGTGCTCTTGTCCTAACAATGATACGTCAGCGGCCTTCCATTACCAACCTCAACACTAAGAGCGACCATAAACAAAGATACGGTATCATCAAACTTTATTTTACGATATTTCGTTCAGTACCATCTCGATACTATGAAAGACCATGAATAAAAATGTCAGATAACTTTTAGCTAGGATACTTTTCTATGTACCAACCTCAGTACAATAAAAGGCCATAAATAAAGATATGAAACTTTGGGTGACATTATTTCGTGCACGTGCTTGTCATGGAACTGACTCACAAGGGCGTTTGTGGTGTTGTGCTGTCCTCGTCGTTTTATGCAAGAAAAATTCAGAAATTATGAAAACTGGGCCTATACATGTGAGTTTATGCGATTCTGTTAATTTTAACAAAGAACGAGAAAGGAAAATAATCAGAAATTAAGCCAAAAATGGTCAAATTTTGCTAAATTATGCTGGGTGCATAAAACCACGGGGACAGGTAGTGGTTACAAGCTTCCTCGTTACTACAAAGATCGTACATAACTAGATACTTCACTCAGCCAAAAAAGTGTCCGCGAAAGTCCGCGCATTGGTTCAGATGGCGCTGCAGTCTTTGTTTTGAAGCCCTCTTTCGTTTTTCCATGAGAAGAATAGGAATAGCACAGTTTGTTAGTTTCACTTTTATTGTTTTTCACACAAATGGGGTAACTCTGATCGCAAAGTCCGCACTTGAGGGCACTTTTTTAATTGGCTCAAAGAGAGGAGTGAACTATTTTGTTGTAAACGATCTTTGGTTACTTGCAAATGATGTGAGGTTCAAACGATTCCCGTGAGGAAGTATCGAGTACCTCAGTCTGTCTACTGGGATATTGTTTCCCGCTCAGCCCAGGTCGGCCTTGACAGACAGGGCCCAAGCACCCCCCCCCCCCCCCTCCCCCGCCCCAAAGCAGTCAGTGTTCTACCAAGATAGGCTATTCCTCTGTAACTGACGGGAGACGCGACAGATAAAATATATGATTTGTCCCGACAATATCGAAATTAAACACGTCCCTGAATTTGCATCAAGTACTTTTTTTTATCAAATGACTGCATTTAATACGATTCTTAATAATATGTATGCAAATGTTCTGGTCATTTCAAGTAGAAATAAATTAACTGATATTGAATTACAGTGTATAGTAAGAAAGTATAGTTCCAAATGTTCCGTCAGTTACGGTGGAATAGCTTAGATTATAATTGGTCGCTTTTAAGCACAAGCGGGTTAGCCCAGATTTCGGGAGTTTCCTGAAATCTTGACCTACACCAAAAGTGGGCATTGCCCTACCTATATGAGAAGTTTTGTTTTATTGGTGTGTATATTTTTTATATTATTTTTTTGGTTAT